TACTCACGAGTGCAGCCATGCCCGAGGTCCTAGCGGCAGCTATTGCCGCCGCGCCACTTGCCGAAGCCGCGGCCGCGCCGCGCGCCACAGCCCTGTAACACTCATAGACATGGTCTATACGCAAAAGGGCCCCACATGTAAGATTATGTGAAGGAAGGTCTGTTTGCTCGTTGGTTTCAGCCAGCCCAAACCAGCCAGCCAACAGTTTTTCTCTCGCAACGAACCAGCACCGGCCAGCCCAGAAACCAACCGGCTCGTCTTCCACGGCGGCGAATCTTCTCGCGTCCCGGTGATCTTTGTCGGTGGCCACGGGAACCTACCGGTGAGAATATCCTCGTCTTCCTCGTGTCCTGGTCCTCACCACCGGTGGCCACGGAGTGTGACTCGGAGCCGGTGTATCCTCGGCGTGGGCGACGGGCGACATCAGCTCTTCTCCGACGCTAGTTACCAGGTGGCGACGACGACTGTTGGCGCGGAGGAGGCGAATCCAGTTGTCCGGCGCGGCGTCTTCATCGACTCAGCGCGGCTCAGCTTCTCCATCTTCGCGGTGGTGTATACGGGCAGCGCGATGTGTACACCTAGCTCGGGCTCGGTTTCGATTTCGCATCGACTCCATCCCGACGGCAGTGGTAGACCAACCTGTGGCGGCGGATTACATCACGTGGGTACCGGCGGCAGTGGATATGTTGGAAGCAACGGAGGCGTGGTGGTCGCGACAGGGTGATGGGCATCACCCGTGTATCCGACCTGTGTTACTGGACACCACACGGGGGGTGGCTGTACAACTTGATCTGGCATCCATGGCAGTGGGCAGCAAGGGCAATGCAGCTGAGCTATATGGTCCTTTACCAAGCCCACGAATTTCAGAAGGTATGAGCACTTGTGTGCCCGTGAGCATAGGGGTTGTGGCTCCGTCGCGCATGCCTAAGGGGTCCCCTGCCGCTGTCGCAAGGACGCCTTCCGCGCCCACGACAATAGGGGAGGTGGTTCCATCGCGCACACCCATAGGTGTGGGTTCTGCAACATCTCCCATACTCACAGGTGCACCTTCCATGTTGCGCATGCCACCAGAGGTGGACTCTGCACTGACCCCACCCGTAAGCATCACATCACCCACGCCCGTCGGGGTGCCACCTCCATTGCCCAAAGGGTCCCACCTTGGATGCATCTCTAGGCTTTGGGACTGTCCCTACCATGGAGGATGGCCCTGAGTTTGTCAATCCACCACCGAATGACTCCTCCAGGCTTAACGCATACCATGACACCTCCCTTATCCATTAACGTCGCATCGATGATGTGCTTGGAGGGGAGAGGTGTGTGGCCATGCCAAACACGTTGTCGATGGCGAGGGGTAGCTGTTGGCCAGCGAGGAGGGTGATACTTGGCTCCTTGCTCCTTTAGACTATCTCCAACAATAAACCTTTAGGCCTTGTTTGATGTAGTCAGATTCGCATAAATCCACATGTGTTGGGGTGGATTGGAGTGTAACTTCAACTAAATTCCATCCCAAGCCACCTCAACACATGTAGATTGAGATGAATTCGATAACACCCAAACAAGGCCTTAGTAGGAAACCCATTTGAAGGTATGCATCGTGCTACAGTATAAGGGTCACGCACCTATTTTTTGCCTTCTCCAACAGGGAATGCAAAAGAGAATCCAAAGTAGGTCGAGGAGAGAGGACACTCATATTTGGGTTCTGCCTCGCCTAACATCTAAAATGGGTCTTTCATATGGGTACTCTGTTGGACCCTGTTTTCTTAGCCTAGGACATGCATTTTGGGTTTGGATGCCCTTATGCCTAGCCTGTGGGAGACAGTCTTACTGAAGCAGAGCACGACCCAGCATGGCAAGCGGCCATGCATGAGGAGATGGACTCCATCGAGTAGAATGGCACATGGTTGCTGGTAGAGCTCCCTCATGGGCGTTGTTCGATTGTACTGAAGCGGGTCTTCAAGCTCAATAAGAATGAGGCTAGAGCAATGGTCAAGCACAAGGCTCGCTTCATTGCCAAGGGATATGTGCAGTAGCTAGGCATGACTTTCGGTGAGGTGTTTGTGCCCATGGCTCACCTTGTGTTTGCACGGCTACTGCTAGCCATGGCTGCACAAGAAAGTTTGTAGGTGCATCACATGGATGTGAAGTCGGCCTTCCTCAACGGTGACTTGGGGAAGGAAGTTTACATCGCGCAGCCACCGGGCTTCATCATCACTGGAGCTGAGCACAAGGTGTTGCGCCAGTAGAAGGTGCTCTATGGGCTGTGGCAAGCACTGTGGGCTTGGATCGAGAAGCTAGACATTACATTGCGAGCTCTTAGGTTCGAGCATAGCCCGCACGAGCCAGCGATGTACTGGTGTGCCCATGGTGACTCACTACTACTCCTCAGGGTCTATGTGGATGGTTTTATCATCACTGGATTGACCGAGGCGGAGATCAGCAGCATCAAGGTGGAGATGAAGCCAAGGTTCGGGATGAGCAATTTGGAACTGCTCTCATTCTACCTTGCCATTGAGGTGTAGCAGAGCAGAGATGGTAGCGGCATCACTCTGTGCCCACTATGCCAAGTGCATCCTAGAGATGGCAGGGATAAAGGACTGCAATCGTGCGCACAACCCCATGGAGGAGCGGCTCAGGCTAAACCGTGACAGCATGACAGTGAAGGTGGACGTCACTCTATACCGGAAGATCATTGAAAGCCTTTGATGCCTCGTCCACACATGACCGGACCTTGCTTTTAGTGTGGGGTATGTGAGTCGCGTCATGGAGTGGCCTACGGAGGAACACATGGCGGCAGTGAAGCGGATCCTGCGCTATGTGGCGAGGACTCTATGTCTCAGCTGCCACTACGGGAGGACAGGGGAGGCGCGACTCCTTGGGTACAACTTCAGTGACCTCGCTAGCAATGTGGATACCAGGAAGAGTACATCTAGGGACCTATTCTTCTATGGGTATAGCTTGGTGAGTTGGCATGGTCTCAAGCAGAAGGTTGTGGCACTCTCGTCCTATGAGGCGGAATATGTTGTTGCACAACGGCAGCCACACATGCAGTGTGGTTCTCACCTCGCACGTTGCTTGGCGACTTCAAGGGAAGAGACACCAGCACTGTCAAGCTGAAGATTAACAACAAGTCAAGCTCTGATGAAGAATCCCATCTTCCATGAGCGTAGCAAACACATTGATGTGCGCTACCACGAGGATTAGTGCTGATTTTGTTGGCACTAAGGACCGGCTGCTGACATTCAAATGAAGGCACTTAGGCGAGTCAGATTCCTTGAGCTTCATGCTAGGATTGGAATGGTCCCCATCAACTCCAAGTCAACACAAGGAATTAGGGGGAGATTGCCGGAAATAATCCTATGTCTAGGTGCATGTTAGTGTTTTGGTTCATAGCATTTACTTTAGCTAAATTTCAGCATGGACTAATATGTTGATTAGTTGGGTAATATTCTGCATTAATTAGAAGGCTATCACAACCTGATTTGTAACTCATATTTGGCTATATAAGTACTCCCTCAGTTCCAAATTATAAGATGTTTTGGTTTTTCTAGATACATTGCATTTGCTATACACATAGATATACACTACGTCTAGATACATAGTAAAAGCAATGTATCTAGAAAAGCCAAAACGTCTTATAACTTGGAACGGATTTAGTAGAAGAGAAAAACAGAAAAGGCTTAAGTCGTTCCAACCACCAAAACCACTTGTGCGTATGTGTCTCTCTAGAAAAGCCAAAACATCTTATAATTTAGAACAAATTCAGTAGAAGAGAAAAACAGAAAAGGCTTAAGTCGTTCCAACCACCAAAACCACTTGTGCTTGTATGTGTTTCTTGTGTGTGAATTCATGCTATTCTGTTATATGCATATTTGTCTTTCAAATGGTATCAAAGCCCATGGTTAGAAAATCTAAAAAATCTCATGGTCAAATAGTGACAGGGGAGTCTATTAGCATCTCGGAGGCTCACATGGATCATGTGTGACATGTAGCTGGACTCTGGGCCTAGAGAACATCTTCTGGAGATCACACGAGGTTGTGTGATGTTAAGAGTTGGCCCTGATGTAAGATGGGAGATATTGTTAGGTTTAGTCGCACATCAAAAAATGATAATGGGGGAGCTCAGCATATAAGACGGGCAACTCTCACCTATTAGACTAGTATTTTAGCTTGAAGTTAGTTCCAAAATCTTAGTATGTTGTGGGCTTCGGTCAACCTGGGCCTGAGGTACGCCAGCTCGTGGGTAGAGCAAGCTGGGCGGTTGGACCGTATCCGCTGCGTAGTCTAACAAGTATCAGATTTTATGTCCACCATTAACATAGGAGGCTTATTTTACGCTAAAAGTTGAAGGATGCATTTCATAGCAAACCATATATATGCTAGGAAGTGTCACGTTCCTAAAACACAGGTGCACTACATGATGATTAATGAACTTATACATTGCAAAATCTATTCTTCTAAAAGCAAATTAGCAGTATTTCTATTTTCAAAATAAATTATATGCGATAACTTTAACATTTTTTGTCATATGTACCATTGATCAAAACTTTATGTTAAACTATGTGACATGATTTTTTTTAATCTAGTATGTTTGTTACTAAATTGATTCATATAAATCCCACTTTAGTATGACGGAATGTAATGATTGTGCTATGCTTGTGGGACGTTGTGTTGCTATGACTGGTCGGATAGGCTGAGAGCGGAGTGACACGGTCTATACATACACAGGGTTCATTCAAAATATGGCTACTTTATTTATTGGGTGTCTTGTTTGAGAAATCAACTTATTCTAGATGGAGTCATGCATCATGAGTCCATATTCTTCAAATTTAGTAGAATGATCTCATTCCTCATACTATATTAGCTTGTGAGAAATGTGACAGTGACACATCAACTCATTCTATTCCATAAACCAAACAAAAAACTAGAGAGTGAGATGATGATGGACCATTTCATTCCACTAACCAAACATCCCATTAGTTTCTAATCTCGCATTTTGTACAATGCAGGAGGCTGTTTTTAGGGTAACAACGAATCGGGGTCGAGAAGTGGATGTTGGAGAGGTGGAAAACATCGAAGGAGAAGAGGAAGGGCACCTACTACACTATGCCACCAGTTGCTCCAATAAATTCTCTCTTCTATATCAATACCATGACTACAAAATTAAGGAGCTAGCTATCAAAAATCTTGAGGGAGTGGAGAGAGCAGAGGAAGTAAGCGAACATGGCAATTTGGCCCAATATCGACAACTGCAGTCACTGAGTTTGGAATGGGACAACAGCAGTATTGTGCAGGATTCAAGCACAGTTAATGACAATGCAGTTCTAGAAAAGCTCCAGCCTCATGGGAACCTAGAACAACTCAAAATACGAGGCTATAGGGGTGATACATTCTGTTCTTGGGTAACGAATATAAGTTATTTCCTTCCAAATCTTGTGAAAGTTGAGCTTTCTGACATGTTATGCTGCGAACATATCCCATTATTAGGCCAACTAGAAAACTTAGAAGTGCTGTGCATCTCAAAAGTCCCTAGCCTCATAAAAGTGGGCGGTGATATATATGGGGCTGAGAGGGCATTTATGAAACTGAGAGAACTTACGCTTGCGAGTATGGACAACCTGGAGGAGTGGACAACCACACTATCAACTCGTGATGATGAGCAGAGGCTTCAGGAAAACCATGGAGATGAAATATTTCCTAACCTCCAACTACTTACCATTACAAGCTGCCCCAGGCTGAGGTTTGTTCCAGCTTTCCCAGGAAGCCGGAGCTGTATCCTCCAAAGAAGCAGCAATGTGCTATCATCTGAGCGATACATTGGGAGCTCGAACTTAGCATTATCGAAATTGGAAATATGGAACTGTGGCTTTTCTTCAGATATTTCCAGACTTCTTCGGTATTGTTTTAATCTAGAGCAACTGAGAATTCATTCCTTCATTGACCTTATCACCTTGCCAGATACCATTCGAAGTTACCAGAACCTTATGAAACTAGAGATACTAGAATGTTGGAATTTTTCTGCTCTACCAGAATGGCTTAGAGAACTCAAGTCACTGCGTGAGCTGAGTGTACATGCTGCCAAACTCGAGCTATTGCCTGAATCCATTCAAAACCTCACTGCTTTGGACAAGCTGGTCCTCACGAAGTGCAACTACAGACTCCGCGAACGTTGCACATCAGGAGAGGACAAAGACAAGATCAGACACATTGGAAGTGTAGATACAACTGAGGTAAATTACTCTGCACCTTTTTTAGATAAAGAAATTACTCTGCACCTAATCTCTATATGCACATGCACATGACAACTTATTTATGTGATAAGCAATAAGTGTCAACGCTCGCATTAGGTATGACTCATATTCTACTGTGTACGAAATAACAATCATTTTATGTGGCCGTGCCTTACATTTTTTTTATTCTTGTCTTTGGAAATGTAGTGCCCTGATCTTTACGGCTTAAGTGGTATTTCTATGAAGAGAATTTGTGGGCACCATCTTGTTGAACTACATCTTTGGAATCCTATACTTGATGATGAACTATTAGATTTTGATTCCCTCGAAATACTTAGTGTAACGGGATATGATGGTGCATATTTCCCTCGTTGGATGTCAACTCCCAAACCTTGTGAAACTGGAGCTCTCCAGAGTGCGATTTGAACATCTCCGTCTGGATCAGTTACAGAGCCTCCAAGAACTGCGCATGTCACACATAAAGAGCCAGAGGTTGGAAGTTTGCATTTCGTGCACCGAACCACTTAGAAAGGTCAGAAGAATTATCTTATCAGAAGTAACTGACAAGTTCAAGATATATATGGAGGAGCAGGGTGGCTACGACAATTTGTTCCCAAGCCTTCAACATTTGGAGTTACACTGTTGTTCTGGATTGAGGTTTAAACCATCAATCCCAAGGAGCACCACGTATGTCTTATCAGGCCCAGGCGAAGACCTATGTCCATCTTTTCAGCGAATCATGGGACCATCCACCCTGTTACCACAATCATCCAAAATGGAGATTAGGAACAGCAGAGGGCTGTCTTCTCCATCGTGGAAGAGTCTTGAGCGCTTTGGTAGTATTGTAGAATTGACTATCGACCACTGTGCGGACGAGATGCCTTTGCCTAAGAGCATCCGTGGATTGAGATCCCTCCGGAAGCTAGAGATTTTGAACTGTGAGAATATCAAAGGACTGCCAAAGTGGTTACCGAAGATCACTTCCCTTGAGGAATTCAAATTAGATACTTACCTTTGGCAGACTTTGCCTGCATCTGCATGCATCCAACAGCTCACTGCATTGAAGACACTGACCCTTTGTAGCGGTTATCTGCTTCAGCAAAGTTGCATATCTGGAGAGGATAAGAGCAAACTGCCACATGGTCCGAAGGTACATTTAGAGCGGAGAAAATGGACATAGAATCAATTTCCTTGTATCGGTTCAGCATCTGCTGGAAACAGAGGTTTGTTTATTCCTCTTTTCAGCTTCCTGTTGTTGGTGAGATGGTAGTCTTATTTTCCATTTTTCAGACGAATATGCAGAGCTGTAGATTCTCTAGACATGGCATTAGAGGAACCATATGCATATCAAACATCCATTGAAGTATAACAGTTGAATTGAGGCACATTCTTGTATCGATAATTGGTGATGTTGCCGTGATAGTATTGTGTGCTGCTGCATTGCATTCTTCCGTCCAGATGAGGTCAACGATTTTCATTCTATCAGGATCATACATAAACCTTCTGTGCAATTCTCTTTTGTGTTCATATGTGTGGTAGTACACCTCTCGAATAATTTTTCTCCTCGACTTCGACGAACTACAAGCATAGATCCTTTTGCACCTTTTATTCTTTTTTTCATGAATTATGATCGTGCACGACTATGACGATTGCGGTTCACGAAACTACTGTTTAGATTTATGTACACTCAGTATGTTTAGCTGCTTGTGCAAATTAAATAAGAGTTTTGAGCTATGTCAGCAAACAAAACTCGACGGATCTACTGTCATAGGGCCTATTCGTTGGTTGGTGCTGGTGCTGGTTTGGACTGGCTGGTGCTGGTTTTTTTGAGAGGAAAATACTGTTAGCTGGCTGGTTTGGGCTGGCTGAAACCAACAAGCGAACAGGCTGATAATGTCATTCACCCATTGGAAATGTAAGTTGATCCATGAGCTTTTAGCAATCTTTCAAAAAAAAAAAGAACTTCAGCCTTTTGCTGCATACTTTTGGCCTCTGCCTTTTTTTTTAGCAAGACGGGCAGGGGCTCTGCCTTTTCATTTAGTATTTAGTAGAAAGCAGTTGAAGTCTTTACATTAAAGTTCAAAACCAAATGAGAAAGGAGAAAAAAACGAAAACTCGGGTAAAAGAAATACAAAGGCAAATACAACCTCCGTGGACAGTCAGATAGGAACTACTCTGGCTGACTAGCTCCTCTCGTGCTAGACGAAGCGACTGAATGTCATCACGTATTGCTTCTGGCAGATGCTGCACATTCCCTCTCATTTCTTTCCCCCTGTTCACGGTGAATTGAAAAGATCCCATATAGAGTATATATAATTTGCTGTAGATATCCTTTCTATGTTCTCACGTTTGCTCCTCCCATTGTTGATGAGTTGGGAGCGTAGGTTGGTTTGTGTCCAATCATCAATCTTGGCCCTCCTGTCCTATAGGCTATATATGATTTTTTACGTGTTCATGATGGTGCTTGTACTCTTCTTGATAAATTACTCTCGTCACTTGTGGTTGATGAAGCAGAAGCATAGATTGATTTGCATTGTACCATGAATTTTGACCCTGCTCTGTTCAGATTTTAAAATGTGACTTAACTGATGCACTAGCAAGCAGGTTGGTGTCAAAAGAGAGGCCTCCTGTGCTTTCTGCAAAGGACCATGCATCCACATGCTTACTTTGTTTTCCATGCACCTCCCATTCTGTACTTAAAAATTTCCCCTTCTGTATCAATCTTTTCCAGCATCAAAGAAGGAACTGCACGCTGACCTGCAGCATGCTATCAATATATATCCACAATTCCATACCGAAGCAGCCTGTGTGGATAGTGAAGAGCTGAAGTTGCTAATTGTAACGAAAACATGCTTTGCTATATATTTTTCGCGGTGAAGAAGGAAGGACGAAGCAGTGTGTCGGCCATGTTCGCTTGTCTCATGAGCCATACTGTTTCAGTGAAAGAACAGTGTTTTTCTCTCACAACAAATCAGTGAACAGTACTTTCAATCATGATTTTTCAGCGAAGCGAACAAGGAAATGTGGTGGTTGATTCTTCTTCACCGCCACTGGACACTGGTGTAGTGGTGTGTTTGCCTGGACTTCGTACAGCGCATGCATGCCTGGCTATTCGGCTAGTTTGGAAGACCTATGCATGTTGCTTTCTGGTTTTATTTCTAAAATATATGTAAGTTATTTAAATACTCGTATAGTTTCAAATTATAAGGCGTTTTGGCTTTTCTAGATATGTTACTTTTGCTATGCATTTAGATATATACATTATGTCTAGATACATAGTAAAAACAATTCATTTAGAAAAGCCAAAACATCTTATAATCTAGATTTTAGAATGGAGGGAGTAGAACACTACGCGCGTGCAATACGGAATTGATGTCATTAGGGATACAATATCGGTGTTGGTGAACATCCTCATCAAACTCATGGCCGTGGAGTCTCTTGTCTTTGCCCCCTTCTTTGCCGCCCATTCCTCTTCAAATGGCATTAGAAGAAGAGTGGAAGATTGATGGTACTTTAATTTCGCCGAGGAGAGCACTAGATATCTATGTCATAGAGAAGTTTCAGTTTACCCATATGGTGTATTTCTTCCTTTTTGTTTCGCTTGTACTGTGTTACAGTAATGTTGAACTTGTTAGCCACGGTATATCACATAGATTTCGGGTCTAGTTGCAGTAAGTGGAGCAATTGTCTAGCATTCTACAGGATTGGAATCGACGGTTTTGGACTTTGCGGGTAGCTGATCGATGTAGGCATTTTTCACAGTGGAGGAGCCAAATTCCAAAAGGCATGGGTCTTATTCTGTATGACGTGATAGGATTGAATAATTGCCAATGGCAGGTGAGAAGTTCTTGTACTTTCCTCTTGTGCATAGTGCACAGCACGATAGACCGATGAGACGACGAGTGTTGTTAATTACCTCCCTTCCTGTCATCGTCTGTGTTCACCAAAGTCCAGTTCCGGTCGGTACCACTCCTGACATCAATGCAATGCCTCCATCGAAACTATAGTACGTTACCGGGGGGGGGAGCCCACATCGAAGCGATGAGGAAGACTGGACAAGTAGTACAAGTAGACTGTTAAATATAGTAAAAGTGTTTGTGTCTTACTCAAACGGATGTAGATACTATGCATGTAAAAAAACGGATGTAGACATGAATGAATTACTTTCAATTCGTAATGGGTCAGTCAACTCCGCGTCCGTCGATTAATCCCCACAACAGTATTTCACTACACGAAATGCCAATGAATTGGCCGGTGGGACAGTAGTCTAAAGTAGTAGTTAGATGCAAGCGACTTCAGAGATAATCAATGTAATAAAAAAAAGTGGGATAGAAATTTTCAGCAAGGCTGCAGAATCATCCATTCGGGTTCTCTTCTCCACCTTAGCACATTATTCCACAAAAATGGTATATGTACTTAGGGTTTATTTGGATTACAACTGGATTTTTAAAATCTGGGTTTTAAACTGTAATAATTAGAGTGCTTGTATTCCTGAATTATTATGATGATTTACTCTTAGTTGCAGCTGGGAGTGAGGGCCTTTGGCCTGCAGAGGCACGATTTTCGAGACACCGCTTGGTGTTTTGAGCCATGGAATCACTCTCTCTTTCACCGGGAGCCGAGCTCCCCCTTTAACATGGTGCAGTTACAATATTTTGGGAGTACAAGAATGCCCCTGTACCAGCTAAGACATATTCCAGTATATTCTACCTCTTGGTGTACAACCTCCTGGCACCCTTGCGCCTTTTTCGTCTCCAACTGTCTTTGTCGATGGGCCTTTGTCGAGCCGGTTCCTCGGCCCAAAAATAGGTCCCCCTATTTGGCGCTGCTGCTGCCCCGCCGCCAGCGACGCCCTTTCCTTCGTCACAATTAGACGCCCCTGGCCTTCGCATGACCTAGCGTCGCCCTTGCCACTCGAAGGCTCTATTGGCCGTTTTGCCGACGATCTAAGTCATTAGAGAATCTTCAGGAGTTTTGTAAAACAACTCTCTATTTTTATATTTTAGCAAAAACCTTAATAATAAAAAGTTGCCAAATATCCTCACCAACTCATAAGTTTTTGCAGTCGTGAGGAATTCCGTATTCGCTCCCCCTCCGGCCTTTTTCTTAGGAGATCGGAATAAATTGGATGCATTAGTAAATTAAGAAAATAAAGGATTCCAGATGACAAACTTGTAAGAGACAAAGAAACTATTAAAAAAGACTTGGTTGGTTAGAAATAATTTGGGGTTCTCAATGCAAAAATCGGTTAGAAGCTATTACAGACTGATGGAGAAAGACAAACACTACCGGGAAATGGAATATATCCTTAGGGCCAACAATCTCCTTGAGGGGTGAAATTGAACCTATAAGGATATATCATTACCTTGGGGTCGTATGAAAACCTCCAAGGAAATGCATATTCTTGATGTTCTAACCCAAACCGC